CCCTGGCTGTACGGCCAGCACAGCGGCTCACCGCAGCTCCCACTGCTGCGGCGCGCGCGGGGCTTTGTGGAGACGAACACTGCCATCCGCCGGCTGGAAAAATCAACAGCAAAAAGAAAAGGAGCTGATCAAAATTAACCTTGAACTTCAGCTGGCTTCTGAAAGCCAGGCAGCATGTCAAGGAGCTACAGGAGGCCGGGTGGTGGCACAGCTGGACTGGGGTGCACTGGTCCAGAGGTGGCCCAGGGGGCAGCCAGCTCAGCGTCAGGGTGAGGGAGCAAGCGAGTGCACTCAGCTGGGCCACTTGTGCATCTGTCTCCCTGCCAGTGACATCTTCAGGACCTTGCTGCCGGCCCGGGAGACACGGACTGGGTGTTAAGCTGAGTGGAGACGGGTGGCGGGGCCAAAACCGCCCTGGGCAAGAGAAGACTGAAATGGTGTCTGGCTCCAACACCAGGTGGCAGGAGGCAGAGACTCTGCGGTAGATCAGTAGGACATTTTAAAAGAAATGTTGCAGAAACCTATGTTATTCTAAGGCCCAGTGAATAACACAGGCACTAATGTCCATTTTCTACCTCTAGAGCAACCTCCTGAAGGCCTCCAAACACTGCTGGCAGGGTAAGACAACCTCAGGTAGCCAATTAAATAGGCACACCTGAACCTCCTCTTCACACCAGCAGAGACAGCCCAAGCTGGTATGCTGCTACTCCAGGCAGGGGTACTGGGGCTGAGCACTGGTACTTGGGGGATTTGAGGATGTTTTAGAGGGCTAGAAGGATTTTTATTTCTCAGGATTTTGTTCAATGATGTGGCTCAACTGTCCTCCTCTCCCCTGGTGTTCAGCTGCCTTCCTCTCCGCTCATGTTCAGCTGCCCTAGCAACAGCTGGTATTAAAAAAAAAAAAAAAAAAAGTATTTTTAAAAAGCAGACATCAGAGGCTTTTCTCAGTACAAGATTACAGGTGGCAAACGGGGCCCTGCTGTTTTGTCACTGCCCTTTTCATGAACTGATTCTTCAGGCGGTTGAGAAGGCAAAAGCCGGTCTAAAACCCTTTGCAGGAATGAAAATGACGGCAAGGGCAGGAAGGCAGGCGGCGAGTTGCTGCATAGCTGGGGACATCTTTGCGCCAACTGAAAATTCATTAGCAGCTCCTGCGGGTCTCTGTGCAGAGAAACCTTTTAATTCAGTAAATAATTCATATCACTTACCAGTAGCAGCCAGGCAGCTGTTTGGGAAGAAAAGGAGGAACCTGAAAGTTACAGCTGAGGGGCTCAGCAGAGGCCACATTAGCAGCAGAAACTGGCTTTAGAAAGGCGAACACAAAGACAGAAAAAACCCAGGCAAATCTCTCTATAGCGCGCACGAAGAATGCGAATCAATGCTACGAATCTTCGTTCTTGTATCGAATTATAGCGAAAAAAAGAACAAAGGTACAAAGAGGCTAGAATATCAATATAGTGTTTAATATTCTTAAATTGAAAAAAAAAATAAAAAGGTAAAATTTCAATTACCATCATATGATATCTTTCATCTGCACACTAAAAGAGTGAGTTAGAAATATTACATGGAGTATATCACCATTAGTCTACACTTCTAGTAGGCATATACTGGTTCAGTTGTTATTTGTTAACAAAAGTAGCAGCTCATTTTTTTCATCTATTTACAGTATTTTAAATATTTTATTCCACTTTACTAAGCACTGATACAGACAAAAACTGTTCTGCATCTATGCATTGCTTTACATATAGATACCTCTGTTACCAGTGAGAAAATATATAGCAGTATCTTCAGGGGGTTTGTACCAGCTTCAGAATTTAATAATGCTGTTGTCTTTAAATACGTGATTGGGGAGCACAGACCAAAAGAAATGCCCAGACCACAATCTGGTGATGCTTACTTCAGTATTAAGGAGTAGTCTGACGACTTCCGAGAACTTAAAAATTAAGCAGGTTATGCGCTTAAGAACAGCGGTTCCTCCGATTACAGAAACGGGGACTGAAGGGAGGAGTGGTAGAAGTTTTTCTGCATAGCAACTAAGAGATTGCTCCCAAAAGCAGGTATAATATAGACTGAAATTAAATAAATAAAGTGTTTCAGCCAAAACCAAAAATGAAAAACCACAGTTTCACAAACTGTTACAAATGCCAAGTGCTGTGCATTGTTTCTAAAGGAAAAATAAGCTTAAAAATTAAAACTATTAATGAGAATATCCAAGTATCTTGTTTCACTAGCAGGGAGCTTTCAGTGCTATTAGGGAGAGCCTGTCTCTATCTACATTTTAAATAATACAGCACCATAAATATACATACAGTAGTACTGGACAGCCTTCCCCACTAAATCTAGCTGCTAGTTCAGAAAGATACTTAACATTTCCAGTAACTCCATACATCTAACAAATGCATTTAAAATGTTTTCAATGAACATTTCAAGCTGTTATAGGGCTGTAAAGACAGTATCCAATCCCATATTGCAGGCAATCTTTACCTCGCTACCTGAAGAGCTCCAGCGGTATTACCGAGCTTATTCTTCGCCGGCTTTGGCTCACAGGAGCACACATCACTGCTCTATAACCCTGATCCTTCACACCAACATACGTCAAGTTTAAAGCCAGAGACTCCTCTTACTCACGTTTCTTATTCACGTTTCCATTTCCTTACCAAATGTGCAAGTGCACGACAAGGTGCAAGGAGAGATTTACTTTCGTTTTTACTTCCTACAACAATGTTGTCACAAAAATAACTCAATAAATACACAAATAACACTGACGGCTGGTTGAAATATACGTGGGATGCTGGACTAAACGAAGCCTGAGGCCTTCGCTTTTTCCAGCAAAGGTACCCATATTTTTAATAGCTTAACTATTCAACTTTCCAAATGGCAATCTTCCCTTCTTCCTTTCCAGAGCCGCTGAGGACATATCTGTCCTCTGCGGAGCAAAGTGCCTTTACTGTATCAGCATGACCAACCAACTCTTTCTCCACAGTCTTCTTCTCAGCATTGACCACATAGATCTTCCCTTTGATTTTGCCTTGTGATCTTCCCCTGCTGCCAATCCACATCTAGGGGGAAATAAAGAAAAAAAAAAATAAAGATTCTTTACATTTCAGCCGAGGACACAGTCCAAACAGGAGTTTTACATGTCACATAGATACAGTAAGGGCTCTCTCTTGCTAGCCTGGAAAAGGGCAATACTGAAAATCTCCTATATATGTATCCATAGGAGTTAGTGGCTTCCCCTCTGCAGAAAGAGGCTCTGAAGGAGATCCTAGGAAAAAAAAAAAAAAATCAGACTAATGAGTCTTTCATCCCTGGTAAGATGGCAGATGCTATAATAGAGAATAAGATCACTGACCACACGGATGAACACACTGTCTAGCAGGGCTTCTTTAGAAGGAAAACCTGCCTCAGTGACCTGCTGGAGTTCCAGGAGGGCATCAGTACCCTTGCGAACTCGTAGGAGCCCACAGATTTTGATTTTCCAAAAGCCCGTGACTTGTCTCTGGTTCCACACCAAAGACTCAAAACAAAATAAGCTGCCAGAGGACTGGAGGAAACGTTCTCTTCCGGCCTGAAAGCTGGTTAATGACCAGAAGCAGTGGGTGTGGTTAAATGCCAATGGTAAGAAATTCCAAGAGGAACCTCCGAAAACCAAGCAACCGGGCAAAAATGCAGCAGATGAGCTTCACTGTAACGTAATGCAACTACAGAAAAATAATCTGAGCCATGCCCTCATAATCCTGAGCTTTTAACTGGCAGGAACAACTGCAGAAAGACCCTGGAGTTATCACTGACATTCTCCAGTATCAACTAAACGTGCAGCAACAAACAAAAGACGACAATAAAACACTGGGCATCACTGGGAACGGCATCAACAGACAGAAGGTGTCACTTTACTACTGTATAAGCCACAGCATGCCCACACCTCAGGAGCTGTGCGCATTTTTGGTCTCTGCACTGCAAGGATACAGAGAAGATGAAAAGTCAGGGAAGGGTAACTAAAGCTATCAAGGGAACAGAGCAGCTGCCACGCGAGTGAAGATGACAAAAGCTAGGACTCCAGTTTGAAGAGAAGGCAGTTAAGGAAGGATCAGATCAAGGTTTTGTCGCTCCTTGTGACAAAAATCACAAGGAGTGCAGACAAGCTGAATGCAGAACCGTTGATCACCAGATCCCACGATTAGAGAAACAAGGGGCACTTGAGTAAAGAGTTTGGTTTCAGAAAGAAGAAAGTACTTCTCTACACACATCTGGTAGCAAACTTCTGGAATTTGCTGCTACAGGAAACTGACAGCAGCAAGTTCAAAATGGAGTCGTATTCACAGAGATCAGGTCCAAAAACAGATAGCAAGAGATCGAGACAGAGGCATAGACTGCAGTATCCCTAAACAAGAACTGGGATGGAGGAGGAGTTTAAGGGGAATGGACTGCAGATAGAGGCCAGGCTCATGCACTCTCCATACACAGCATTGCAACTGCCACTGTTAGAGGCAGAATACTGGGTCAGATGCACCTGGTCTGGTCCAATTTTGGTGTTCTTTTGCATAGTTTTGTACGGCCTAAGTGCTCACCGTTGTGTCTCAGCAATGCTTGTCAGCCAGAAAGCAGCCCATTTCACACGGACACGCTATGTAATTGGGTTTTGTCTCAGGTTTCTTAACGTGGTTTGTTTTCAATTAAAGCACTTAAAAGCAAGCCCATGGTAGACAACTAACAATGCTGTTGTTCGTCTGCACCAGGCTGCAAGTCCATTCTGGCATCCCAGTAGATGTCGCAACGCTGTGTAGAGGAGGAGCATGGGTATTCTGACTACTACAACAGGCTCCAACACATCCCTTGGATAACCGAGGTTGCTGAGCTGTTGGCAAGTTGAAAGTTGGTGTATTAAATGCTCAGATTCAGCAGGTGGATTACACAAGGATGTTTTCTCTCAGTTTTCTCTTTTGTTTTAATGAGTTGGGCTATGATGCTAATTAAGGTGGAGTTGAGTTAGGAATGAGCAGAAGAGAAAAGGAACAAAGCTATGACCTAGAACAAGAGAGAAGTTAATGGCTTTGAGTTTCCGAGCAATCCTCTAATTTATAGGTTGGTGCAGGATCCCAGGAGTGTGTGGCTAAGGCAGATGCTGCTGTGATAATAAGGCTGTTAGGTGAGGAGAACGCCCCAGGAAACCTCATGTTCTCTCCTCCTTCACAAACCCAGGAGCACGCACTGCACCAAGCAGTGCTGTGAGCGAGAGGAAGTCAGTTCCCTTAAGTCCCTCACGCCCCCGTGCTTTGGAGGGGGCTATCTCAAAAGCTTTTCCTGTGTTAGGTTCAGTAACCTAGCCAAGGGCTGAACACACCGAAAGCTTCCCTAACTTCAAAGGCATCTTTTGAAAAGAAAAAAGAAAAAGAAAAAAACCATTTACCAGAAGGAAGAAAAATCTGAGAAAAATTTAGAAAGTTGGTTTCCCAATATATATTGGCTATTTATTTATAATTTAACCCTAAACCTGTCCATGCAGTATCACACCTACAATCATTTGCAGAGCCACTATTACACAGGCGGAGGCCTGTATGACAGGGACACGAGACTGCCAGGTAGGCTGTTAGTTCTTATGGTCTCTGTTGAGTTAGGCATGTGGTGACTAAACAAGGAAAAGGTCATCTGCAAAAACAGGCCAGCTAATCAGCATTTACCGGTTGTCTATTAACCTCTTTCAAGGCTTGGTCGTAGAATCCCTCAGAGATTAAATATCAAGGGATCTAAACTTTTGGTTTATGCAGTTTCTTGAAAATGTCGATGGCTAATGAAAGTCACCGTGCATTTAATTACTGATGGGGCTCTTGGCTCTACATGCTTGCTGGGTACTTATAACAGTCAGTTGTTTCAGGCTGTCACTAGGTTCTCTGATTTCAAAGATGAATTAATGTTCCACATCAGCAGATAGGCAAGCCCCCAGTAAGGAAGCTAACTAACGACGGCCCACGAGAGCTGCAAGCAAATAATTCATTGCACTTTGGTAAAGAATTCCACAACAAGTAAAAATAGTCCAAGTGTCGCTCACCTGATTTTTAACTTTTATCATACAGGTAATCTCAGAGCAATCTTGAAGATGAATCTTTTGAGGTGTACTTGCAAGATCTCTGGTGTTCCAAATATACAAGTCACTGCTCCCCGAATAAGACGCCCACACTTCATCTCTCTAAAGCACAAAAAGATACAACTTTAGCACTGCCGATAACGCGAGAAGTGCAAATGTTGCAAGAAGTAATTATACGGCACTGTTTGTAATGCCACATAGTCACACTTCCTCTAAACCAAATTAACAGTTTAAATTTCATACCTCAGGAAACAGCTGGAATAAGAGCAAATACGAACACACATCCTTCAGGTTATGCTCAATTTTCATCTGTGGTCGAAATTCATGAGCTGACACTACGAGTATGCAACTTCCAGTACCTTCGATATTAAAGATAAAGTGTTAGTAGCAGAAGTGCCCACGTCCTCCACTGCTGGAAACCATAAATAAGAAATGCAGCATAAATGGATGGATCTAACAACTGTCTCGTTTCTCAATGAACGGACAAGTCTTAGCTGTACTTCACGCTGCTTTACACAATGCCCAGTCCTTAGATCTGTTCTGTCTTTGTCCAAATGCTGGCTGCTATTCTGCAGCACATACTTGTCAGTTTAGAGTCCAATAATAACAAGAGGAGAAGAGACAACTTCTTTAAAATTAGATCTCATACTCAGGTTCTCAAGTACACAATTATTTTTGTCTACAGAACTGAGACCAAGGGTCTGTCCTACAAAGTTACAGGGCTGAATCCTGACCCCACCGAAACAACGGCAGCATCACTACTGACTACAGAAGGACCAGGAATTTCCCTAGGCTTTAGCTGTTGTTCTGTTAAGCTATAGGTATATTTGGATCCAGGCACTCGCATGTGGCAGGACTGAGTATTAGAGCAAATTCTTCAATCAGTCATTATTTAGGAAACATCTGCAAGAGGCTCCTATATACTGCCACAAAGCTTTATTTTATTCATCTGAATTCCTACAGAGGGGATAGCAGATTTTTTTCAAGTCGTTAAAATACAGGTTTGGGGATTACTTACCAGTTCAAAACAATACCATACAGTCTGTGTGAAACACCAAGTCCAGTTTCCCCTAGACTTCAAAAGGACTTTGTCAAACCCCAATTTACAGACATCTCCAACAGAGGTCAGACAGACAGAGTGCTGTTAGAAGTCACAACCTATTAGAAGTCACAACCTAAAGCAAGCACAATACATGCAAGCGTACCTTCAGTAGAGCTCCAACCTAGGCATCTATGTCAGTGTTTTGGAGGCCATACCTACTGGGTAAGGCTCCTCAAACATACTAGGTGGAGAAGAGGAACAGTAGAGAATGGCAGAAAAACTGGTCACGTACGCAGAAGTCAGTTTTGGATTCATGTATTGTTTTTTTCTAGTAAAAGTGTAATATGTAAAGATTTTTTTTTTTTTAATTGTTTGAGGAATGAACTTACAGCACCACAGCCGATCATTATGAAGTTTGACACAAGTCAGATTTTGGCAGGGCAGCTGAAATGCACGGTTGACTTTCAGAGTGCTGATGTTCCAAGCAATCACTGTCCCATCTAAGCTGCATGAGTATGCTTCACTGTTGGTACAGATACAAAAAAGAAATTCAACAATATAGCATGCATTCATGCTCAGAACAAGAGCTCTACGTAGCAGAGACTGTCATTTGCAGCACAACAAGTTTTATGCCAAGCCAAATTAACGACCTTCAATTTGCAGACGGAAAGACTGAAGTGTAGTAATGATTTCCAACAGAAAACGGACTGAAGCCCAAAAGGCTGTGGGGTCTGCCACTATAGTTATTTTAATAGCAAACAATTAGCCTGGTTCAGTCCTTTGAAACAAGGTGACCAGAGTCTTGACAGACACGAGCACATACATCCTGTGATCACCATGACACCGAGGGTAGGATTTAAATCCTCTCATCGTTTTCTAAATAGCCAGTTCTGGGCAGCTGCATCTTGCGTAGGCATCTTGCTCATCAGAATTACTTTGCAACCCATTCTGAAGCATTCAGCAACCAACAGAGAGCTCTGGGTTGCAGCCAGGCATCCACCTTTCAAGCTGTTTATGTCTCTTATTGGAATCAAAGGATTCTAAGTACAGTGAGGGTTGGTTGGTTGGTTGTTTTTAAGATTATAATTTGCAAACTCCATATCATTGGAAATTTAGGCTAATTCAGAGCTTTAAGTGAACTAGAGCATGCATTATGGTCATGCATCAGAAGCTAAGTAGAACAAAACTTTCCTTATAATTCTCCTGAATACTGTTGCCTAGGGGATTTTCTCTCTCTCTCTCTCTCTCTCTCTTTCTCAGGTTAGGACCAAAATATCTCAAAATTGTTTTTCATTGCTATTGCACCTCAGGAAACAAATCACACTATTCCATATCCCTTTGACACTTGCTCTCTTCAGATGAGAAAACCTTTCTTGAAGTTCCCAACAACATTTATAAGCCGATTCTCCCTAGAAGCCAGCTATGACTGCTGCACCACTGGCAGAGCTGTGGCTGGTCCAGCCTGGGAGCTGCCGCCCCCACGGGAATTCAACAGGTGAAAAGGCCCCCCCCCAGCCAGCACTGTTCCCAGCTCTACCACAGGATCAAAGAGTGTTCTCCCTGAACAAAACAATAAATGTATTATTTCCTTTATGAACATGCAGGATAAATCCAGAAGCATGCTGTAAACATCTAGTTAATGATGTGCTCAAAGCAAAAAATGAAGTGGTCTTTAAACTGCATCTGTGTTGATTCATAGCTGGATGCCGCCAATTCCCAGCTGCTCTCATCTTTGTCCAAGAAAGCATTCCTTTATCCTCTTTGTTCCAAAGTACATAATGCTCTTTTTTTTTTTTTTAATGAAATTTTTAGTTTACCATATACAATATGAGAGCTATCATACTGGGCTAAACAAAGGCTTATGTTAGCAGGATAAGGCCCCCCTGTTTAAAGCAACAGACTGCTACCGCATCTTGGAAAGTCAGTCACTGGTTTCCTGTATGGGCTCGTTTTTCTTGAGCAAAAATTAACATTTTGCCTTTGTTTCAAATAATTCACGCATGATACTGCGTCACTGGGACCTTTAATTGGTTCTGTGCTCACTGCAGCCTAAATTCTCCAGGCTGGTGAATACTCTTCTAGCTACAGAAAATGATGTTCTATTTAACCACACGAGGATTTTCTTAACGTGCGTGACTCCCCCAGTGGAACAGATGTCTTCCAGATTTGCTTGTACGTGCATTTTTACAAAGAAAATGCTGTGATTAAATATACCTGGGCATTCCATTCTGCTTATCTACGATGATATCTGTAACATCAGAACGATGATCATTTAGTTGCTTATTACAGGACATACTATGGGTGTTGATTATATAAATAAAGGAGTCCTGAGAACCGATCCACACTTGACTTTGTTCTACCATTACCATACAAGTCTGTGGAGAAAAAACAGGATTAAACACAATCCAGAAGCAAAATCAATCTTTAGCGTAAGATGGAAAAAGGCAACATTAAGGTGTTGCAGTTTTCTGGCGAGTACAGCAAGAGATCAAGACTCAACACTCCAGTTTTTTGCTCCACGCTTTGTTCTGTTCTATAAACAAAGCAAGAGGATGGATCTCTTTGCCTACTCTATCCTTCGTTAAAACAGGATTAATAATGTATCTTGGTAACTGACTCAAAGTTGTGTTTCCTAGCTCCAACAAAGTAAAAGTTATAAAGGGTGTCAGGGAAAACCATCTAAGTTTGTGCATTTCTCTCACGGATTGCAAGCTGTCCTATCAATCTGATTTAAACATCCTTCTTTCTTCAGTTAAGAGCAACGGCCTAAGCAGAAGGCCGTCTTTTCCTTTACTGTCTCCAGAACAACCTCTCCCCTATTCAGGGCCTCTTCATTTCTCTCCCTCCCAGTTCCCGTAAAGTTCCAAACTTACTTCTTCCTTCCTTTCTCCTCTTTAGAGAAACTCCTGCATCAGAATCACCTCCCGGATTTCTGTTACCCCTCCACCCAGGCCCTCACCATCAGCCTTACTTCTCCCTTTTCGACTCATTCACAGTGACGTTTCTCAGCTTCCAAAAAAGTGACCTAATCCAACTCCTTTGCTGCATGTTCTCCTCTCCTGAATGTTCTTCACTCAGCTAGCAGCTCTGGTTCAGCTCCCCACTTTATCAAGAGAGTTATTCCCTTCAAAGGGTCTTCCCCAAGCAACTCCTCCTAACCCACTGGCTGAGACTCCTTCTTTTCGACTGCTACCGCTCTTTCAGCATCACCCACAGGCTTCCTCACACCTTCCCCCAACTTCCAGTTCTTCAAAAGACTTTTCATCTTTTCCTCACGCTCTCTTCCTCCTCCTCTTCTCTTTCTTATATTGATTATCTCCACCAGTCTTTGTCCTCAATGGTTTCAAAGCAGTCTTCCAGCTCCAAGAACTCATACCTTCAGGCCACTACCTTCCCAGCATCTGATCCATCACTTCTAACGGGCTGACTTGTTTCACTACGGATTCATGTTCTCTCCTTTCCCTTTTTCTCAAGGGTCTTCATTTCTCCAAATCAATTGAAGCCCAGAAGATTTAAATGTCTTTCCACAACTTTTAAGGAATACGCCTCACAGCGTGGCCTAGCCCATGATTCAGGGTCATACAGGCTATAGCGACAGAAACACCAGGTTAAAGCAGCAGTCATGATTCACGTGCCAGTCTTACCAGTTTAGAGCTGCCCATTTTGAAACAGTGTTGTTGAATAGACCAGGTAGATGCATCAAAGACCACCACTTTCCCCTCATTTAAAGCACACCATAGTTTTGGATGAGCGTTGACGGGTCTTTCTGAAGGGTCAAGATGCCCTAGAAAGGAAGTGCAGAAGGTGAGAGAGGAAAGAGAAATAACACCCCACAAGCCAGTACTGTCAGCACATTTGGCAACACGTGCAGAAACTGTTATTAGGCAGAGCATCTTCCTGGCGAACTGCGTCTGTGTCCTGGAACTTACAGCACCAGTTAATGTGCGACACAGTTTTCACAATGAATTTGTGCTCCTTCTCATCTACTTGTTGAGCCCACCTGATGGCTTAATTTCACACTCTGAGGTTATTCAGAGCAGAGATAACCTTTTCCATTGAGGACTGTAAGAGCTGAGCTAACTGGGACTGCAGGCAGGCTTTTAGGCCCTATAAAATGCAGCTAATAAATCCATTCATTCCAACTGCCACAGCAGGAGAGCTCTGCTTAGAAGACCTATATTTAAAAGAAAAAAGCACTAACAAAACCCCACAAGTTTCCCCTGCCCAAGTTCTTCACTTTGGAATTTACTTTCCACCTTGGTCTCAAACTGCTTGAACATGGGAACTTTAAGAGCATGCCTCAAAGTACATCGTCCACTTACACTAAACAACTTGGCAAAGAAAAAGATAAGGGCTAGAGAGGTACAACCCAAAATGAATGTTACTACACGGTTTAAAATGAAAATAAACTACTAATTTTTTTTTTTTTTTACTGGTTAGGATAGACTTTTTTTTTTTTTAAAAACAGACTGACAGCCACTAATACTTGCTAGTAGGATAAATGTTACTCTTTTGTCTGAAATGGCAGGAGATCTGCAAGAGATGAAGTAGTGGGGTCGTAAGTCATAGTGGAGTCAAAAGACAACCACATAATAACTTTTCTGATGCAAGTTGGTACATAATTCCTAGTTTATTAGGAAAAATAGTAAGGTTATGAAGTCAGAGTTAGAGTTAGGAATTTTCAGAATTAAAATATTCTCTTCCACATAAACTCACACCCATTGCACACAACCTCAGGTATGTGGGGATTTTTTTAATGGATGATCACATACGACGTCCCCTCATAGACCCACTACTAGATTTAGTGTGCTTTGTAGATCTGCTCTTGAAACGAATCAGGATTTTGCAGCAAAAGGAGACTTATTGCTAGGTTCCCTGCTTCGTTTTTTGGCCAAATACATGGAATGAGTGAGGCAGATGTTAGGATCTCTAGTGAGATCTTAGTGCCTCTGAACCAGAATTCCTATTCAAGCTATTTGATCCAAAATTTCTCATGAACGCACTAACAGCATGCTCCTCATTTTCTAGATGACAGATCTGAGAGGCAAAGCTACAGTTAATGAGACTTGTGCTTGAACATAGAAAGTGCCAGATATGGCTATCAGATCCAAGACATCCCAAATTAGGCCTCCAAAAATGAGAGAAGCCTTTTGGCCTCAACTTTTTTCCAGTGATCCTGTGTCATCTCTAAAATGAAAGGCAATATACCTCCTCTGACAGGAACGTTATAAAAATAACTTCATTAGCATTCACAAACTAGTCAGATACAAACGTGCCAAGCATCACCGAAAAACCCACAAGGAAATTCATAATGCTTTCTTCAGGGACGAACTTAAATTATGTGTGATGAATAAGTCATGAAACCATACACTATGCAATGGGGGTCACAGGGATATATATCTGACTGGGATTTCAAGAGGTGGTACGCTATTCCCTGCCCTGGGGGTCAACCAAGCACCCCCCTATAACTCTCCTGGAAGATAAAAAAAAAAAAAAAATAACCATGAATATTGATCAAGAGCGGAGCATCATTCATCCATCCTGCTCAATGAATGAGGTAGAAGTCTTAATGGAAAAACAGTACATTGACACATAATTGAAGTCTATAAGGCATATGCATACAGGAAGGCAAATAGTGAAAGCTATGCCTCGGAGTGTCTAAATTTGCAGTATTACTGTTCTTTTTTAACGATTTTATGTTTTGGTATTCTATACACAAGCAAAGCACGCTGGAATGAACAAAATCACTTAGTCACAATAGCAGCTGTTAGGAGATAACATGCTTTATAGTCTAATTAAAATGGGGCTATTGTAAAGGAAGAAATAAATCACCTTACCTGGTGTATAAAGCAAGACATCTATTGCCTGTGGAAACATCTCACCAGCTGAGGGGTTGATCTTGTGCTTTAGTGTTTCTGAGGTTGTTTTGGGAACCATCATAGGTACTAAAACAGATTTTTAAGAGTCATGAATTCCAAGATAATGGAAACTTAAGCCTGAAACAGACATATAATCCTTACGAAAGTCAAAAGTCTGCACCATTTATTCACATATCTTGCTTTTCTTTTCTTTTGACTATGAAAGCCCAAGCACTATTTCTATGAATTCTCGTGATAGACACATACATGCAACACCAAAGCACTCTAAAGAAGCAAAAGAAAAACACAACAGCCCACCCTCAAGACAGACACATCACCTAAGCTTCTAATACACAGAAGCAAAAAATAAGTTTTACTACTACTATTTAAAAAAAACTACATCTGTGAAAGTGCAAACAGGCTAGCAACTTTTTATGTTTCTACAGATATTCATTTGAAAAATGGAATATAAAACAGAAAAAGCTGAAGCAGATGATGCAACAACAGCAGACATTGTGGCACGGCTATGTCACTGACCTTCATTTTTCATCTTGTCAAAATAAGACAGTTTAGAGGCTGCATATATGGTTTTGGAGGACTGCAGGGCACCAACCACAGCATCCATCAGGAGAACATTTGTCAGTGCTTGCTGGATATACTGAGGATCCTAAAGACAAAAGTCTTACTGTAGTTTATCTGTTTGGGTTTTTTGTTTGTTTGTTTTGTTTCTTAAAACAAGGCTCCCTCTTCAATAATCACAACGCATGTCATGCTTAGCACAAGCACTCGCTAGCCAGTTTCTTCCCTGCAGCATAATCCAAGCTAGTTGCAGATGGAAACCCTGCTTCTGTATGATCCTTCTTCTCAAGGGGTCTGTAGTGGAGGAACTCTCTACTCTTGCTCTATTCGTTCAGAGGACCTATGACCACCAAGGTTCCACCTTGGCAAAATCTCATACAATGTTGCACATTGAAAAGGAAGCAAGATGGGTCAACTTTTCTTTTAGGATCACTATTCTCATGAAGTGAGCTTACACTAAGGAACTATTTTACAAAACTAGTGTCTAAACAAAACCTTAAGGCTAATGAACGAGAAAAGACATGCTATATTTTTTAGGCAATTTCACTTATTTTGTGTCAAGATATATTATATTTAGAAACAATGGCAAAAATAATTTTTTTTTTAACTTAGCTATTAACTGTTTGTTGACATCTAGAAATTCCAAGTGTGTTAAATTTAGAGACAGAAAGCACATACTTCACATTTTCTTCAGTTAGAAATTCCCATATTTTTACCTTGTGATCGTCTGCCATTTTCTTTCCAGCCCACATTTCTTTCACAATCAGATACCAGAGATCACACTCTGTTTTAAGGTTAGCTTCAAAGACTTCTTTTTTAGATAGTGTTTTAATCCTCAGAGTGGGTATTCTCAAAAGAAGGAAAGCTACAGTTGTGCTCTTAACGTCCTGGAAATGCAGAGAAACAAAGATAGCAAGGAACACGTAAGATACAATCACAGGTAAGGTACAGCACCCACCCTAAAGGTCAACTTTCCCTATTTCTAACTAGCTACAGCTGATTACTTCAATTATCTCTACACACCATTAAGCAGAGATGGTCTCTTATCAAGTTTTATGAAAATGTAAGCTCCACAGAACACGGTGCAGGCCTTGCTGCACAGCGGAAGCAAGCTGGCTAGCTGACGCCATAGCCAAATACACTTAACACTTGCATGCTTAAGCTACTCTCTCTAACGCTATATCCTGTTTCCAATACTTTGGATCTTTCTGTAAATCTAGAGGTTACGACCCCTACGTTTTTATTCCATGTCATTTTAGCACCTAGCACACAGCACAACATCAACTCTGAAACTCTTGGTGCATAGGTGCACTTGTAAGTTGGTGGCTTTATAGGCGTTTCCTACAACCTGCGCTTAAACTGCAAGTCTGAGAGGCAGATCTTCTGACAGAACAGGATTTGGCCTATCATCCAATATCATGCAAGCAAACAAGAAGTTATTTTATACTCACTTCTATGTCCCTGAAAGCTGCAATCTGGACATAGCCAGGACGTCCTCCTTCAGTCAAAAGGAACAAGCGCTTTTGCGTCAGAGCTATTTTTCCTACACCATAGTTAGTTTTAACTGAGCAGGATAACTTGTAGACACATTCATTTTTATCTAGGTGCTCCATTACTGTAGGTGGCAGATTAACCTCTTGAGCTTCTGCTTCAGTTTCTTTCCAGTAGTTGTAGAAATCTCTGAATGTCTCAGGATCAATTTGTTTCTGATGTCCTAAAAATTTTTAAAAACTTGTTTACTCTCTGGAACTATTATACAAATTTAAATAGAAAGATAGTTTTACGATACTAACTTTCAAATTGTCTCTATTACAACTTAAAGGTGGTTAAAACCTTCAAATTTTAAAGGTTTTAAAGGTTAAAAGGTTTTAAATGTTAAAACAAGGTACATAAAGTACAAAAAACATTCTCCCTCCACCCCCCC